CGCCCTGGCTGGGCACCGCAGCGGGCGTGCCGCTGCTGTCCTCGCGGGGGGCCGCGGGCACCATGGTGACGTAGCTCCACTGGCAGGGCACGGGCAGGTGCTCCTGGTCGAAGCTCTGCAGCACCTGGGGGTGGACGTACCAGCACATCCTGAAGTCGGGCCGCTTCTCGTACACGGAGTTCTCGGAGATGAGCCGCTTGAGGCGGGCCTTGGAGGGCACGGCAGCGTCCTCGCCGGCCGGGGGGGTCTGCGGCCGGGAGCAGGCCGGGCCTGGGGGGCTGCCGGCATCCCTGCGGAGCAGTCCTCGGCGGCAGTGCTCCTGGAACTCCCGGATGATGGCCTTGCTCCCGTTCACGTTGCCGTGCAGCAGAGGCAGCAGCTGGGCCAGGACTGCAAGGGGCGACAGGCGGGCCGAGGTCCGTGGAGGAGGTGCCGGGCCGGGGCCACAGCGGCTGGGGCACGAGGGGTCCCGGGGGCGGACGTAAGCAGGCTCAGACTGGGCCTTCAGACGGGCTCACACCTGCCATCCAAGCAGTGCGGAAGGCCGAGGAGGGAGGACTGCTTGAGCTCAGGCGTTTGAGACCAGCCCGGGCACCATGGCAAGACCTCGTCTCGGCAGAACTTAAAGTGCCAGCTGCTTGTGGTGACAGGCACCGGTATCCCCAGCTACTGAGGAGGCTGCGGGGGGAGGATCCCTGGAGCCGAGGAGGGGGAAGCGACGACGAGCTGGGATCGTGCCACTGAGACCCCACCTCCCAACAAAACGAAGAGGGCAGTGCCCACGACTGGCTCGAGGAGGAAGACGAGGGAGGGGCCGCGGCGAGGGGAAGCTCCTGCCTTTCCTCCCAAGGGCTGCCCTGCTCGCCTTCTGGCTGCTGTCCCTGCTGGCTTTTGAAAAGCAAGAACGTGGGCGGGGGAGCCATGTCCTAGGCACACATGGGCTCCTGCCCCGGCGCAGGTGACCGTGTCCTGGTCGGCAAACGCGCCACGTACAGGCCCTGCCTGGTCCCGGGGCGGGGACCCCTGCCCTCCGGCCCTCCCGCCGACTGTGAGGGCTGGGCGAGCAACACCCTCTCGGGCAGAAGGGCGCTGGTCCGGTCCGGCCCCACCCACTCACTCTGCTGGTCCCTCTTCTCCCGCTTGGAGGCCTTGGGCGCCGGCTCCTCCTCGGCGGGCACGGGCTCCAGCAGGCAGGCTGCGAACTGCTGCAGGACCTTGAGCTCGGCCCCGGCGCAGGCCCCGGCGCAGGCCCCGGCAGCGGCCCACACGCAGCCGATCTTCACGGGCTGCAAGACGCGGAGCCGCTTCCCCTTGGCCAGAAACTCATCCCACTCCTTGGCCTTGAGCTTCTGGCGGACCTTGTGGTTCTCCGGGTCGGCACACTCCTGGCAGGCAAGAGACAGCAGGTCACTTGGGGCCCTTGGCCCCCTCCCATGGTTCCGGGTCCTGGCCAGCCGGAGAGCGAGAAGAGGGAAGGGGCCGGCCACTGGAGGAGTCAGCCAAGCAGGACGCCGTGGCCTAGCTGTTCCTGCCCCAGCCCGAGGGGGAGCCGGCAGGGAAGAAGGCTTTATGACCTCACCCAAACGGCCTCTTTTAAGGCAACTCTGCACTTTGCGGCGAATGTGTGACTGTGGAGCTGTCAAGCAGGCTGGGGCCTCTGCCTGCACGGCCAGAGATGGAAAATTCCAAGGGCACAAGAACCCGGTTGCCTTGCTGGCCAGAGAGGGACCAGGAGTCACGCCCTCCGTGTCTGACCCAAGACCGTCCTAGTACACCTTTCTCAGTCCCCACCTCCCAGACACTGGCCAACTGAGCCCCTAAAATGGCTCACTCAAGAGTGCCACATCACAGACTTTAGAAGGTGGTAGAGGGTGGGTACAGAGATATGGGGGAACACTTCGGAGAGATGGAAGTTTCTGTATTTTATTTTGGGTGGTAGCTGGACAAGTTCGCTCAATTGTGACAAGCTATCCGAGTGAAAACTGAAGACGTGTGTGCCGTGGTACAGATTATCCGCCCGCCAGCTGGAAAAGCTGAGGGGCTGCCCTCCGGCTTGGGCCTCACGCTCCACCCTTCTCACCCCTGGACCTGCCCCCTCCTCACCTGGACTTCTTCCTGCCGCTGCCACCCCCAGGCAAAGCCGAGTTCAGGCCCAACCCCACTGCAGATGAGCCTCCAGGCCGAGCAGCCCCTGGGAGGCCGCAGTGAGGAGCAGCGTTGCGGAACGGCCGGTGGGGCGGTGGGGCCAGCGGCACCACCCCAGGCCCGGCCCGAGCACTGAGCCATGAGCACCTCCCCAGGTGTCACCTCCCCTCCACGCCCTCACCTCTGTCACGCCTTCACCCTCAGACAGGTACCCATGGGGCACAAAAAAGCCGTCGTCCTCATCTTCGTCCTCTCCCACTTCGTCCTCCTCATCCTCAAAAAGAAAGAAGGGAGGTCCATGGGCTGCAGAAGCAGAGCGTGAGCCTCATCAGCGGCGCAGATCTGGCTAGGAGCAGTGGCTCACGCCTGTCATCCCAGCGCTTTGGAAGGCCAAGGCCAGAGAACTGCCTGAGCCCAGGGGGATTCGAGACCAGCCTGGGCAACGTGGCAAGACCTCATCTCTACAATTAAAACAAAAAAATTAGCCGGACGTGGTGGCGCACACCTGTAGTTTCAGCTACTTGGAAGGTTGAGGTGGAAGGATCACCTAAGCCCAGCAAGTCAAGGCTGCAGAAGCCGTGAGCGTGCCACTGCACTCCAGCCCGGGTGACAGTGAGGCTCCAACACAAAAACCCAAAACAAAACAAAACAAAAATGTAAATCTGTCAACATCTTCTGCTTTGAGGGCCATTCCTGTGGACGCCTTGAGGGTCAGAAGAGGCTCCAGCAGGCCACAGTGTGTGGCGGCGTCAGGCAGAAATGGGCAGATGTGAGGCAAAACGGGCAGCGGGGACCACGGGGAGCCACGGCAGACGTGGCTCAGCGCCATTGCACGGTGTCAAGCAGGCAAGTGTCCCAGGTAAGGCTTTCCAACAGAGGCTGGCAGATCTGACATGTCCCGTGGGTTTGAATTTGCAGACCACACCCAAGCCACTCACGAGGGAAGAAAACCTCAGGCCTGCCACAGCCCCTGGTCAGAGCTGACGCTGTCCCAGATCTGTCCTCACCCCTTCACTATGAGACAGGGATTCCCCGGGCTCCTCCTCTTCCCACTCCTCATCACTGTCCACTTCGTAGTCCAGGAGCTTCTGAGAAGGAAGACATGGGATGCCGTGAGTGCCTTCAGAAAAGGGCAGAGTGGAGGGGCTGGGACAATTGGCGGCCAGGAGCAGTGGAACAGGCCCGGTAGGAGCGAGCCGCAGAAACGGCCCACCTGCAGCAGCCCACCTTGTCCTGGGCCCAGGGGTCCCTGGGGCGGATGACTGTGGTCCTCTTGTTCCACGTGCCCCAGTAGGCTGGGCGGTGGTTCTCTGAGAACTGCAGGAGCTTCATCCTGCCGAGCTTCCTCCTGTCGGGCACGCTGGCGACCTTCCCGTGCGCCATGATCACCACGTCACTGAGGGGTGAAAGACTGTCAGGAGGGTGGGGCCTTGGTGACTCACTCACACACCACCTGGGCTCCTCCCAACGACGTTGGCCATACAATTTGGAAAAGGCCAAGTGGAGGCTCATGCCTGCCATCCCAGAAAACTTGGGAGGTCGAGATAGGAGGATAGCTTTGAGGCCAGAAATTTGAGACCAGCCCGGGGAATAGAACAAAACACTGTCTCTATCACCAAAAATAAAAATAAAAAAACAAGAAGAAGAAATAAATTAGTTGGGCATGTTGGGACACGCCTATAGTCCTAGCTACTTGGCAGGCCGAGGCAGGAGGACTGCTTGAGCCTAGGCGTTTGAGGCCACAGTGAGCTGTGATCGTACCACAGCACTCCAGCCCACGTGACAGTGAGACCCTGTCTCTTCAGTTTAAAAAACAAAACAAAACCAGAAAAGATGAGTGGTCATTAAGCAGTAGCACCAAGTCCCCCAGGAAAGGTCAGGAGCATTGACTCAAGGGACAGACCAAGGAGGACCAGCCTGGGGAGGACAGGGGAAAGGCTGCCAAGGGGCTCCCCTGAGCACTTGGATTAGCAGGTTGCACGAAATAAGGCAGGCACTAGGAGTGAGGGGCACCCTTCAGTGGAGACCAGTCTGGAAGTAAAATCCCTGTGGGGAGACCCTGGGGAGACCAGGACAGATTCCAGGGGCTCATGGGAAGGCCAGGCAGAGAGGCCCAGGGCAAGCACTAAGTCCTGAGCCAGGGGAGGTGACTGGCCTGAGGGCCACAGACAGTCGGCGGCTGACCAGACCAGGGCTTCTGCCACAGGCACCCGGGCCCCAACTGCCACCTTCTGGTGTCGCCGACAGGCAAAGGAAATCTCCCTGGCTCTGACCTGCTAAAAATGTCCGCGTTCCGGTTGGAAACTTGGGTAGGGCCGGACCTGAGGGGCCGTCGGCCTTTCAGATCTTTCAGGAAGGAGAAGTCCCCACTCTGCTGCTGGAGGAGCTGGTCAAGTTGATCACAGAGGTCTTGGTCAAAGGCAGCCCGACATTGAGGGGCGAGAACCATGTGTTCTTTAATTTCAAAGGGTGCAAACTTCCCACAGGAGCCGGCCAGGGTCTGAAAACAAGAGGAGACGCGATGGGGACAGGACAAATCACAAACACATGTGCATGAGACTCACCCAGGTCAAGTCAGAGGAGCAGACTCCGAGGCCCGTATGCTGTGAGTTCATTCACATGAGTTTTTAGAAGGGAAAGCTGCAGGGACAGGGACCGGATCTGTGGCTGCAGGGGACAGGGTGGGAGGGGCTAACTACGAGGGAGTTGTTTGGGGTGATGGGAATATTCCGTACTATGGGGATGCTTACATGCACTATAACTTGCCAAACTCATTGAAAGTCAATAAGCCTGGCTGGCACAGTGGCTTATGCCTATAATCCCAGCACTTTGGGAGGCCGAGGTGAGTGGATTGCCTGAGCCCACAGGTTCGAGACCAGCCCAGGCAACTTGGCGAGACCTCGTCTCTACAAAAAATCAAAAGTTAGCCAGGTGTGGTAGTGTGCGCCTGTAGTTCCAGTGACTCGGAAGGCTGAGGCGGAAGGATCGCTGGAGCCCAGCAGGTCGAGTCTGCGGTGGCCAGGAGCGTGCCACTGCCCCCCAGCCTGGGTGACAGAGTGAGACTTCAACTCAAAAAAAAAAAAAAGAAAGTCAATAAGCCTGGCTCTAGAAAGAAAAAGGAAAGATGACATGACCTAAGACGGAAGCAGCAACTTCAGTCTGTTGCGTGGTCTGAGCGCCTTGCTGGGACCTGAGACCCTAGGAGATGGACCAGCTCACCCAAGTCATGCTGCTAAAATGCAAGACTGCTGGGCACAGTGGCTCACATCTGTAATCCCAGCACTCTGGGAAGCCGAGGTGAGAGGATTGCCTAAGTCCAAGGGTATGAGACCAGCCTGGGCAATTTGGGGAGACTTCATCTCTACAATAAATTTAAAAATTAGCTGAGTGTGGTAGCACTCGCCTGTAGTTCCACCTACTTGGAAGGCTGAGGCAGAAAGATCACCTGAGCCCAGTAGGCAGAGGCTGCGGTGGCCATGAGAGTGCCATTTCACTCCAGCCTGGACGATGGAGGGAGACTCAAAACACACAAACAAAAATAAATAAACTGGGGGAAAAACCTCCATATCAAGGGAAAGAAGCCAATCCTGTTGAAAAATAGGAACTGGCAAGTCACAGAAGAACTGAAATGGCAAAAGAACACAGAAAGATGCCCCGTTGCACCAGGACGCAAGGAAAACTGGAAAGGAAAATGAGATCGGTTTCTTTTTACCCCATCAGACTGGCAAAATTAAAAGCAAATTCAGCCCACATGGCCATGGTGGCAGGTGGGGAAGAGCACATTGTCACCATTGCTGGAACACGTAACTGCGTTTCCAGTCTGCCGGGCGTTCTGGCCGTGGTATTTCGGCAACGTGCGCGCTGGGATACAGCAGCAAGCTCGTGTCCAGTTGGTTGTCCTTGCAGAAGGCCCGTGGGCCAAGAGAAGTGTGGCTTGGGGACCCCTGCCACTCCACCACAGGGCACATCAACTGTGACAGCAGAACTGGTGCAGTGGTGCACACCTGTCATCCCGCATTTTGGGAGACCAAGGCATGAGAATCACTTGAGGCCAGGAGCTGGAGACCAGCCTGGGCAAAATGGCAAGAGCCCCACCTCTACAGGTAAAAAAAAATAGCTGGGCTTGGTGGTACGTACCTATAGTCCCAGCTACCCGGGAGGCGGAGGGAGAAGGATCATTTGAGCCCAGGAGTTTGAGCTATGATCACACCCCTGCACTCCAGCCTGAGTGACAGTGAGACGCTGACTCAGAAGAAAACTAAAAACGAACTAAAACCCCCCAAGGCTGTTGCACTAGGAAATATTACACAGCAGTGAAAAAGAACGAAGGGGACCTGTGGCCGTCACTAGGCGACACGTGCCAACCTCGAATCACCACATGAGCACCCTAAAGCTACGCAACTTTTGCCAGCGAAATCTTTGGAGATGAAAACAGAGACAGATCCCTTTCGGAAAAAGAATGAAAAAATCTAAACGTGCCACGTGGCAAAAATCTGAAGCACAGCTGAGTGGACCACAGAGCCACATGATCCACTCGCACAAGTCTTGAGCCACACGTGCATGTCTACGCAGAAGCGTGGGGGGTGTCAACACAGGAAAGCATCTGGAGGGACCCGTGCCCCTAGAAACGGGCCCCTGTGGGGAGCGGGGTATGGAGAGGAAGGAGGGCTGGGTCTCCACACAGAGCACGAGGCTCGGAAGGTCCCAACTCCCAGGCAACCAACACCAAATGCAGTAAGTAAGATTCAGAGCTGAATTTTATACTGTTTTATGGCTAAGCCTCCTCTCCACCCACCATGAATTTCCTGGGGGTGAAGGCTAGGTCATCTTCTCTTCAGTCTGACTCAAAACTGCTCAGGAAGCAATCTCTGAGAACAGCACTTTCTTGTCAGACATGCCACTTTTTGCCCTTTGGGGACCAGGAGAGTGGCTGAGTGACTTCACTAGAAGTAAGTGTGCTTGGGTCCCTGGAAGCTTCCTCCTTCTGGATGGAAGAAAGGCCGCTAGGCAGAAGACACCTTTTATTTTTATTTTTTATTTTTTTGAGTCGGAGTCTCACTCTGTCGCCCAGACTGGAGTGCAGTGGCCGCTCCCGGCCACCGCAGCCTCGACCCGCTGGACTCTGGAGATCCTTCCGCCTCAGCCTTCCGAGTAGCCGGAATTACAGGCATGCGCTACCACGCCCAGCTGATTTTTGATTTATTGTAGAGATAAGGTCTCCCTGCCCAGGCGGGTCTCGAACCCGTGGGCTCAGGCAATCCACTCACCTCAGCCTCCCAAAGGCGCGGGATTACAGGCTGAGCCACCGAGCCCGGCACACCTTTTATTTTTAATAGAAAAAGTCTCACAGAGCACAGACACTGAAGGCAAGGGAAGCTAGGTGCTCACCTTGGGGGCCTGTGGTGTCTTTGGTTTCTGGAAGAACCGTGTGATCTCGGCCTTCTCGGCTTTAATGCGCTGCAGCGGCAAAGACGATGGTTAGGAAGGGGGATGAGGAGAAAGAAACATGTTTAAACACACGTGTATTTTCCAACATGTGGAGGCCTTTAGAACTAAGCCTCATGCGCTTCTAAGTTGGAGACATGTTTATAAGACTTCAGCTCTCAAAACCCCCGACCCACAGCTGAGTGCTAGCCCATCTCAAAATGCCAGCGTTGTCCTCACGGGCAGAAGTGCCAGGAAGCGGGGCCAGCAGGCGCGTGACAGGCCGGCACCGAGAACAGACAATGGGAACACACTGAAACAGGCCCGTCCGCCCCCGGGGGAGCCATTTGGTTTCTCAAGACCAGAAAACCTTCGCAACGACTTCGGCAAGAAGCCCACTCATGCCATCTGCTTCCCGGGGACTGAAGCAGACGCTCCCGCGGCCCTACCTTCTCCTCCTCTCTCAGCCGCTTCTCCTCCTCCTTCTTCCTCTTCTCCTCAAGTTTGGCCCTGTTGAAACATGAAGTGAGATCTCGGTCAGCCTTTCCTTTGGTTCTGGAAGTGAACACAGCATTCAACTGCTAAGTAGACGGCATTTCATCTTGCCATGAACGGACAGGCGACATGCTTGTTTACCGTAAGCTGTTATGTGATGTATAACACACACACACTTATAAAGGCTAGTACACAGATCTCAATAAATACAAATAAAAAAGAGTCAATAACATTCTCCGTGACAAGAATACAGACAGAGACTTCAGCTGGCCGACGCACCATGGCACAGACAAAGCCTGCAGCCCCATGATGACAAGGCCTCCGCCAGCCGGGACCTGGTAGACGGGGTCCAGGCAGACAGAGCCCAGGCCAGCAGGGCAGACGTGAGGGCAGCGGCAGAGTGGGGAGGCACTTCCGTGTCCTCGGATCGGAGGCTCAGCGTGTAGCCATGTAGGAGAGAGGGACAGACCGGCTTCAGGGCGGGGAGGGCGTGGCTGTCGTCCCCGCGTGGCCACCGGTCCCCACCACCCGGCACTCACTCCAGAGCCTCCTGCCTCTCCTTCCGCCGTTCCTCCTTTCGCCGCTGCTTCTCCGCCTTCTCCTTCTCGTCCTTCTCCCGCTTCTCCCGCCGCTCCTTCTCCTTCAGCTCCCGCTCTTCCTCCTTCCTCTTCCTGGCCTCCTCCTTGGCCCGCTTGGCCTCCTTTTTCAACTTCTCTTTCTCTTCTCTTTCTGCTTGTAACTTGAGCTGCTTGCCCAGCCGCTCCTGGTCCTACAAGACAATTCAACAGGTGGCCCTCCTGGCAGCTCCCTGGGAGGGTCAGGTCAGGACTTGGAGGACGGCCACGTGGAGAATTCGGGGCTGGCTCCAGGAGGAGCCTTTGGCCAACACGCTTTCACAGACATGATGTCTGAAATACATATGAAGACTTTTTTTGGGGGTAGAGACAAGGTTTCACTACGTTGCCTAGGCTGGTCTTGAACTCCTGGCCTTAAGTGGTCATCCCACCTTGGCCTCCCAAAACGCTGGGTTAATGGAATTACAGGCATGAGCCACCATGCCTGGCCAGAAGTGATTTATTACAATCCATTATTTTTCAATCCATCTTGAGAAAAATGATAAGAATGAGTTGTTTGCCCTGGTACCTTGTGGGCAATTCTACAGAGGATCCATTTAAACACAATCTTTAAACATGGAGCAAAGCTTATTTACTTAATTATAAAACAAATTAAAAGGAGGCAGTCTACAATCTCTGTTAGGTTTGAATTGCATTTATTTAATCAGAAAACTATGGTGGAATAAAGAAACAAAAACATCTGCAGGTTTTGCCTCCCTAACTTTAAAACAAAATCATTTTCCCATCCCTGCCCCTCAAAACATACTCGATTCTGTGGCTGGTTTGATTTCTTTTGAAATGGAAGACTGGGAAGAGGCAAGAGCAGGAGATTTTCTGGGGAAGTCTTATAGCAGCAGGAACTGAATGAGAACCCAGAAAAATACAAGCCAAACAAAAATTTAAAAACTTCTTGAAAATCATTTCTCTGGGGCCGGGTGCAGTGCTCAGCCTGTAATCCCAGCACTTTGGGAGGCTGAGGCAAGAGGATTGCCTGATCCCAGGGGTTCAAGATCAGCCTGGGTAACTTGGTGAGACCTCATGTCTATAATAAATCAAAAAATAAGCTGGGCATGGTAGTACATGCCTGTAGTTTCAACTGTTTGGAAGGCTGAGGCAGAAGGATCACCTAAGCTCAGCAGGTTGAGACTGCGGTGGCTGTGAGCATGCCACTGCACTCCAGCCTGGGAGACAAGGTGAGACTCCAACTCAAAAAAACAAAAACAAAAACAAGATTTCTCTGGATCTGAAAAAAAAAGTATTAAGAAAGAAAGACCAGGCATGGTGGTTCCTGTCTGTAATCTCAGTGCTCTGGGAAGCTGCGGTAGGAGGATCGCTGGAGCCCAGGGGTTGGAACCTGGATGGCAGAGCAAGACCCTGTCTCTAAAAGAAACCAACAAAACAAAACAAAGGATGAAGAGTAATCTCTACAGCTGTGGCGATACACTTCATGACTGGGCATAGAGACACAACTCATTTCTCTTAGTCTTTAAGGTAGGACACTTAATCACATCAGTTCCTCATTCCACATGGAATGTGGCTCAAGACAAAGAGTAATTACATAATCTTAAATGAATGCTAAATACACCCATCTCTGACTGTACGGGGTAACTTCCAGAGGACACCCACCCATCCAAGACAGACTCTTCCTCTGCCAGGAAACTAACAACTCAGTTTCTGGTTTGGGTATAAGACTACATACCCTTGTCTCTAAAGAAATGTTTGACAGAAGCCACAGAGACATGCCACGGAAGAGGCCTGCTGTTTGTCTCCTGCCAAGTGCCTGTGCGTCTGCATCTGACACACGGAACACTCAAGGAAGGTGGCTAGCTAAACTAAACAAGGAGACCGCCCACGTGGCTGCGGGGTAGAGAGGATGCACCTCTTCCTTGTTGCTGAACAAGACAACAGAGGCCTCCAGAAGCTGTAAGAGAATCAGAGCTCTTCAGCCACACGAGGGTGGCTTTTCCTCCAAATGTGCCCAACTCTGAAATCCCAATAAAGAATGAGATAAGCCAGGCTCGGTGGCTTCAGCCTGTAATCCCGTGCCTTTGGGAGGCTGAGGTGAGTGGATTGCCTGAGCCCGCGGGT